GCTAACCAGAAGGCTGGCGGTTCAAACCCACCAGCCACTACTCGGAAGGAAGGTTGGGCAATCCTACTTCCATAGTGATACTTTGGTTAGCAGAGACGTGCTTAACTACTGTGCCACCACTGCTCATATGTGTGTGTGTGTGTATGTGTATCTATGTTTACAACTCCCTGTGGTTGGAGGTCGTGGTGTGGGGCTTCTCACTTTTCTGTGAGCCCTCTTCCTTGTGTCCTCTCATACTGCATACCCCCATAAGTGAAAGAGGGACAGTACTATGAGCTTTTCAGGAACTCACCAGAACTTTCCTGAACCCATTTCGGACTCGGACGTATAGCTCCTCTCTTTCAGCCACAAAGATGAGCCAGCCTTCAGGCACCTCGTGCACCTTGTTCATCATGGTCTGGTATGTGGCCCAGATCCTCACCTGCTAGAACCCCAAACTCAACATGGGTCCCAAGGAGTAAAGGTGGGGGCCAGACAGACCCTAGCCAAGGGTTCAGTGTCCAAGGGGTTAGGCTTGGATAGTTCAGGGTGCTGGGAGGCAGCATGATTGAAGAGATGCCTCCTGCTTCAGGTCATGGTCCCTGTTACTCATTATAACTTGGATGGGCATGTTTTCCACAGTTAGTTCCCCCAAACTGTCCTATGATCACAGAACTGGCTGAGAGCCTCTGAGAGGAGGAGAGCAGGGTTTGAGCCAAGTGCCCACGTTTGTGCTAGGATGCACTGCCCTGAATCCTGCAGAGGGATCTCAGTCTGCCCTTCACCCCTCTCCACCCTGGACCCTGCACAAGGGACCTCATTCCTCCTTCTTGACCCATCCCACCCTTCCTGGCACCCTCACGAATCCAGCTTCTCTCCCATCTCTGGGACTTCTGTTCATGTGTCCCAGGGACAAAGCTAGCTCAGAGCTGGGACTCCACAGGGTCTGCTGGAGGACTCCCCCAAGGCAGCCTACCCTCAGCCCTCCAAAGAGCAGAAGCAGCCAGGCAATGTCTGGGACCAAGCAGTGAGGGTTGGCTGGGATGGGGGATGGGACTTTGCAGTGAGAATTAGCTGGGCCAGCCGGGTGGGTGCCCAGCCACCATCTGGTTACTTACACCCAAGGATGCACCTGTGGTTCCAGGAGGCCCTGGGGGGCCAGGTGGGCCTGGTGGGCCAGGAACACTGATGGCTATGAGAGAGGAGAGGTAGTTGTCATGGCCATACTCGGCTGGACCAGGCTGCACCACATCCCAAGGCTCACCAGGGTCCACTCCCCACCAGACTTACTCTGCCTGTGAGGGCCAGGAAACGAGGGGAGTCCTGGGGGTCCTGGGGGTCCGGGGGGCCCAGCTGGCCCCTGGCGCCCCTCATAGCCAATGCCAGGGGGTCCCTGAGGGCCTGGTGGGCCAGGCTGACCTCGGATACTCTCTCCCTTGGGACCCTAGGGACGACAATAGAACATGGGATTCTGTTATCTGCAGTGCCCAGGCCCAGACCAGCAGGCCTGAGAGGGCTCAGGCTGTATCTGTGAAAGCCCATCCTGCTGCCATGGAGCCCCTGGTTACCATGTGGGGTAGGAGGAGGGTAAAGGTCAGCACCGATAGCTGAGAGAGCTTGCCCCCTCACCCCACCATCTTACTACTCTGGGGATGCGATCTCAAGCAGTGGACCAGGGCAGCCCCCAAGGCCCCAACAAAAGCTGAGACTCTTCTTCCTCTATGTTCTTTTAGAACTGAGCATCTACTACCCAAAGGCAGGAAGGCAACGGTGCAGGGATGGCCATAGAATTAGTGAAAGGCTGGGGTATCCTTCCTGGCCTGGGTGAGCCATGGCCAGGTATCATACCTAGGAGGGCCACAGCTCTGTGTGTGCACTCACCTTTGTCTCCGCCACCAGTGCAAAGACATGGGGGTGGAGGAATGGGGCTAGGAGGGCTGGCTGCTTTGGGAGGGCCCAGCTCACGGACTGCAGCCTCATGGACCTGGATGAGTGTCACCCATGCTAGGTGGGCCCAGCTACATCATGGAGGTGACCTCTGTGCCTACACAGGGCAGAGTGGCCAGGACCCAGCTTACCGGAATCCCAGGGTAGCCTGGAGGGCCAGGGGGACCGGGGGGGCCTGGTACACTGGAGCCGAAGAATCCGCCGCCCCCTGGCTCTCCCCTCTCTCCTTTCTGCCCGGCGTCCCCTCGGTCGCCCTTCTCACCCTATAGGTGGAAACACTTGTCTGAAGCAGGCAGCTGCGCAGAGTGGGGGCATGGGGGGCCTGACTCCTACAAGGAGTAGGACTCCCTTAGTCACCTCTAGCCCCTCAGCCAAGGTTAGGCAACTGGAAGCTTCTGGAGTGCAGCCTGGCATAGCCTGGAGGTGCCCAACCTGGAAAAAGAGCTCTGCCTCCCAGCCTGCTGTTTTCCCAAGCCCCCACAGAACTGAGGTGAAGGTCCTGCCTGCTAGGCAAATGCCCCCAGACCACGGGTCGGAAAGAGGAGCCCTGGACCTGGGGCAGCCAGAAGCCAGTGCCATCATAAAGGGGGAACTTTGTAACCAGGTCCAGACAGACCCTCATGGTGAGAATGGCATCTCCCATGGGGACATTGGACCCTCAGCCTGGCTCTGATGGTCCACAGCTGACACCCACCTTCATCTCAGCTTCCAAGTGCAGGAGGTCGAATGGGAACTGCCCTGCAGATCAATAGGGAAGTAGAGAGGGAAAGGGGTTGTGAGGCCCTCTCTGAGGGTGCCATGCCTCCCTCCCCGACCCACCCTCCCTGCAAGAAGCACTGCAGCCATTCAGGATGGCTGCAGTGAGAGGAGATCCTAGACCCCAGTTGCCCTCCAAAACATGCTTGCTGACCAGGAGGGAGCTCTGGTGGTGTAGTGCCTAAGGATTTGACTGCTAAGCAGAAGGCTGGTGGTTCAAACCCATCAGCCATTCCCTGGAAAGAAGGTTGGGCAATCTACTTCCATAGTGATACTCCTCGGAAACTCAAAGAGGGGTCACTAGAAGTCGGATCTGACTCGATGGCAGTAAGTTCCTTCTAATGATGCATTTTAAATATACTTTTTTTTGTTATTGTTGAGATGTGGTATGTAAGCACTGAAGGGACCCAGCATTATGAAGGTACCATGGTCAGAAGTGCAGACCTGCAGAACCACCACCTGCTCAGCCTTCCAGGCCCCCACGCCAGCCTCTGTTAGAGTCCCCTACAATGGCCCCTAGGAAAGCCCACCATGCCACTTCCCAATGGGAGGGGGGTGTCCCTCACAACCCTGTAGTCGACCTCTCAAGAAGAACCATGGAGCAAGTACAGTATCATTTGCTTTGGAACCTGATGTAAGTGGATCTAAAGTGAGGATTCAGTGCCTAGCTCTCACGCTCAGCATTATGGGATTTGTCCATAATGTGCAGACCAGAGAGGTCTGTGACAGGGTGGCTATGCAGTGTGGTCACGCCACAATACAGGTCTCACTGCCAGCACAGATGGCTGGGGGGCTGCTTGCAGTTTGGCTCCAACTCATGGCAACCCCCTGTGTAGAGTGGAACTGTGCTTCACAGGGTTTTCAGTGGCAGTGGCCTTTTGGAAGTAGGCAGCTAGGCCTTACTTTCCAGGTGCCTCTGGGTGGCCTTGAACCATCAATCTTTCACTTAGTAGTTCAGTGCTTAACCATTTGTACCACCTAGAGACTCCATTTAATTACCATAGTCCTCTTGATTAAGGAGATTGAACATTTCTATACTATGAAATGCCTGCTCAAGGCTTTTATTTGTGCAGTTGACTCTTGCCATTAGTGGGAGTTACATTCTATAAAACTTCCACCAACACTGAATTAGTGTATAGTGAACCAACCCTGTTCGACCTTGGATGGGAAACTTTCCCCACTCTCTGCGTGTATGTATGTATGTACATGTCCACAAATGACTGCAAAAGCACCATAAGCATTTTTAGCAAGCAGGTGAATTTGTAAATATGGAATCTATGAATAATGACTGTACTTCTATTGGTTGTCTGTTTTTTTCTTATTGACTTGTAGGAATGCTTTGGAGCCCTGGGTGGTACAAATGGTTATTGTGCTTTGCTACTAACCAAAAGGTTGGAGGTTTGAGTCCACCTAGAGGCACCAAGGAAGAAAGTCCTGGCAATCTACTTTAGAAAGGTCACAGCCATTGAAAACCCTATGGATCACAGTTCTACCTTGTACATGGAGTCCCCAGCAATCTTCCTGATGGCAGCTGGTAGACTTGTAGGAGTTCTTTATATCTTGCGGGCAGGAGTCCTTTGTTAGTATATGCACTGCAAACACTTTCTTCCACTCTGGGGCTTGCATGTTAACACACTTGTGGTGTCTTGTGATTGTGGAAGTTCTTAATTTGCTCTTTGAATTCAAAGTAATAGCCTGCCTCAAGGTCATGAAGCTATTTTCCTCTTTTATTTTCTAGAAGTTTTATTGTTTGACCCAAAGTAATTAAGTTACTTAAATTTAAAGTAACTTTTATATTTCTCTGGGTAGAGAACCTGTATACTTTTTGTTATGTTTATTCTAGTTAACTGATGATTTTGTTAATGGTATTTTACATTTTTCATTTAATTGTTTATGACTACTAACTGAGTTTTGTAGACTGTCCCTATATCTAGTTATTTTGGTAAATTTATGGCGCAAGCAGTTAAGCGCATGCCTGCTAACTGGAAGGTTGCAGGTTCAAGTCCACCCAGAGGTGCCTGAGAAGAAAGGCCTGGTGATCTAGTTCTAAAAAAATCATCACTGAAAACCCTGTAGAGCTTCTTCTACACACACACAGGTGTGTCATGAGTCAGAAAGGACGCAACAGCAACAGCCTTTCGCTGCAGCCCTCATGTTCTGATGTCTCACATTTTCATTATCATTCAGTTCCATTTATTTCTAACTTCTGTTGTGATTTCTTCTTTGACTGCTGAGTCATTTGGAAGTGCTGAGTTATTTGCTTAATGGGCATTTTCTCATTAATTTGTTATTGACTTCCTATTGATTCCACTGTGGCCAGAGATCTGTTGTGCATAATTTCAATTCCTTGAACTCCATGGAGACTTGCTTCTAGTTTGGTGCTGGCCTGTTGGCAAACGTTCTGTTTGCCTGAATGCTCTGTGTGTCCTCAGGTGTTGGGGGCAGGGGCCAAGATATATCACGGAGCTCAAGATTGTAGCATGCTTTTCAGATCTCCCATCTCCTTAGTGATTTTCCTTGTTTCTGTGTCTTCTATCAGCTATGGAGAGCTGGGTTAGTTTTTCCCTGAAATTGATTTCTGTCTTTCCCTTTTAGCTCTCTCAATTTTACTTCTTATATCTTGAGGTTATGCTATTAAAAAAAAAAAAAAAAAACCCAAAACACAGTTGCATGGAATCAATCCCAACTGACGGTGACCCCATGTGTCAGAGTAGGACTATGCTCCACAGGGTTGTCTATGGTTGATTTTTCCAAGTAGATAGTCAGGTCTTACTTCTGAGGAACCTCCAGGCTGACTCAAACCTCTGGCCTAGAGCACCTCACCAGCTCCTGAGGGCCTGAGCACTAAGAGTGGCTTCACTGTCTCCATTTCATCCTTTGGAAGGATGTTTTCACTGACTGCAATCTAAGTTAGTGGCTTCTTCTGACGTTTTAAAGTCACCTTATGGTCTTCGGAAGAAAGGTTGGGAATCTACTTCTGTAGTGATACAGCCTCAGAAACCCAAGAAGGGGTCAGTATGAGTCAGATCTAACTCCACGGCAGTGAGTTTGGTTAGGTTTGTATGGTCTTCTGGCTACTCTCACTTTTGTTGAAGTAGAAACTGTGAGTGTGCAAGGGGCTTTCTGAATCTTTCATCAGTTTGGAAATTCTTGGCTATTACATCTATGAGAACTGCCTCTGCCCAGTGTCCTCTCTCCAGCACTGCAGCCATATACTCTAGTGTATCCCACACTCTTCTCTGACTGCTGGACATTCTGTCCCCACTGCTCCTCCAGCTCACTTGTCTTCTCTTCAAGTGCCTCTCATCTGCTATGAAAGTCTTACACAAAATTCTAAATGTGAGATACGGTGCTGTTTGCTGATTATCCCATGGTCGGGATGGTGCATCTCAGGAAACCCCCACCCCCCCGCTCCAAGCACACAGGTGTGCCTGTACTCTTCTGGGAGGCATAAAGGGGAAGAGTACTACCTGCTCCTTAGCAAGTGTGGTGTGGAGCCATTCTGCCAGGAAAGGAGCACCCCAGACCCTGGGCCCAGGACACAGGCTCTTCCAGCAGGTCTGACCCCCAACCCAAGCCATCCACAATCCACTCACAACCTGTGCCACCATGCTGGGGTTCTGTGAGCCAGGAGAAGCTTTCTTCTGAGGAGGGCAAGACCTCCTTCATCTGGGGTACTTAGAGCTTGCTCACCTGGGGAACCTGGTGGGCCCACTTCTCCTTTGTCGCCCTTCGGTCCAGGAGGTCCCTGGTACCCTGGGGGGACAGAGACAAGGCCCTTTACCTGAAAGCTGCTGGTAGGGCTTTGGGACAGTGCCTCCTCCAGCCCACTAACCCCCAGTGGGCCCCTCACATTGGGTGGGTCTGGACTGGGAAGGGGTTGCTAGAAGGACTGGAGACAGAGCAGAGCTTGAGAAGGGCAGAGGTGCACTAGTCCCACAGGGACCTCCCCCAGCACACCTCTCCCCCACCCCAAGTCTGCTCAGGGACAGTGAGCAGAGAGGGGCTATGCCAAGAACAGCAAGGTATGGGGTCTCTTTGCCCGTGGTTGGGTAGGGAGCAGAGTTTGAGGTGGGTGTTCACACCAATGTCCACCCTGCCCAAGGATTGGGCTGCCTGAAAGGCTGTGCAGAGGAAGCAGAGCCTGGCAGGAAGAGGGACTGGGGTCAGTCAGAATTGGGGTGTCCTTGCCATAGGGAGTGCTGGAAAGTTCATGAATGCCCTGGGGATAGGGATGTTCAGGGTTTGAAAGGGACTCAGAAGTAATCCTTGTTCTTGGTGCTGATTTTGCTGCATTCTGCAAAAGGCTGTACCCCACTGCTAGTTCCCCTGCCCATCCTACTGCCTCCAGCTGTGAGCTCTGGTGCAGGGTGGAGGCATTCACTTCCTTCCCTCTACCTCTCAGGACACCACGGGCTGTGGCTCAGGGATTTGCTGGAACTTGCTATCCCCAGGGCATCCTTACCTGGCAATCCTGGAGGCCCGGGGCGGCCAGAGTTGACAAAAGCCTGCAAAGTACGGGCCAACGCTAGCCACTGAGGGGTGTGGTGCTCTGGAAATTAAAGCCACTGCCCACTAGGGCTCCCTGAGCCCAGAAGAGCTCCCAAAGGCCACACCAGTGCCTCCCCATTCTGCACAGACAGGGGCATGAGGGTGGGTGGGAGGGAAAAGGTCACAGGGATCTGGTTGCTTCACCTCACCAACCCTCACTTTTTCATCTGTGAAATAGGGGCCATGGGGCTCAAGCACTCAGTAGCACTCAAGCCTAGAAGACCCCTACACCCTTCCTCAGCCTTCTCTTTCACTGTGGGACCTGTCTTCTAATTGGCTGCCCCCAAAGATGGCCCCCACACTCAGGCAGGCCTAGATGGTCTGAGGGGAGGCACATACCTGCTCTCAGTGACCTTGCACCTGAGCCTTCCATCCCAGCCAACCCCCCCCCCAGGACCTAAAGGCCCAAGGCTGACCCCCTTATCTTCCCTAGAGGTCAGAGGTCAGTGTGGGAGGAAAGGAGGCCTGAAGCTTTTCCAAGCTTCTTTGTAAAGAGCAGCCAGAGGGACTTGTGGGAGGGAGCAGGAGCTTGGGGCAGCCTGGAGACTCACATTGCTATCGTAGACAGGCATTCCAGGAGGGCCTGGGGGCCCTGGAGGTCCTGGGGGCCCAGGAGGACACTGTGGGGGGAGATAAACAACTGGTCAGCTGTGCTCACCCTTGGCCATGGCACTGATGAGAGCATGACAAGTGGGAGCATCTCTGCACATCACAGTGGTCAGAAAACAGAACAAGGAAGCAATGCACACCGAATCTGGATTATCTCGTGATCACAAACACCAAGGACAGGCACAGTCCCCTTCACATTTCCAGATAGATGCATGCACCTAACATCCCTTGGGTGGGGACGCACAAGACTGTCTGAATTATGTAGAACCTGGTCAACCTGGGACAGGGCTGGTCCTGTGCTGATAAGTTGCACCATCAGGGTGAGCCGCCACACACTGAAGTGTAAAAGTGAACTCTGTGAGGCTTAAGTTCTGTCTGGTAGCGTAGTGCCTAAGGCTAACCTGACTGCTAACCTGAAAGGCTGGAGGTTCAAACCCACAAGCTACTCCTCGGAAAGGAAGGTTGGGCAATCTACCTCTGCAGTGATACCACCTCGGAAACCCAAGGAGGAGTCACTATGAGTCAGGTCTGACTCGACGGCACATAACAACTACAACAACAACAACAACATGTATGTGTGTGTATGTGTGTTTGCGAATGTGTGTACATGTGAGTGTGTGTCAGAGGAGCTTGGGGTGTGGGTGCAGCACCACTCTGATTTGTTTCCAGTGGAAGTGTGGTTGCACAAGAGGCCCTAGCCTGGCAATTCCAAGCTGCTGGGCATCCCCGCGTGCCCCTACTCCCGTGCTCACAGGACGCTTACCCTCATGTTGAATGCGGCACCAGCGTCCCCTGGCTCTCCTTTCTCCCCCTTCAGTCCATTCATCCCTGGGCGACCCTGCAGCAGAGCACAGTGAGTAGCAGTCCACCACTGACCAGCTCTGCAGCCTTAGCACCATCCCCACAGCCTTCTATGGTTCCTGACACCACCAAACCTGCCCTGGCCCTTGGAATCCTCACCGGTCGTCCAGGAAAGCCAATCTCGCCTTTGTGCCCAGGCCGTCCATAGGGGCCCTATAGAGCAGAGGGCATTTGGAGTCAGCAGGGGGCCACACTGAGGGGTGTAGTCCCAGAGGTCCCTCCCCTACTTCCCACACTGCTCCAGAGCCCACCGAGCTGCACCCCTCCCAGCACCTGCTGCCTGAAGTTTATAAGGTGCTTCTGTACACTGGCTGTGGCAGGTCCCTTGGGTGCCAGCAAGCACAGCTCAGCATGTACAGAACACAGCACCATGTGCATGTGTACACATGCATGTGCGTTTGTATTGGCACTTGCACATGACAGGTATGAGCTTAGTGCCAGGAAGGTGGGGCCCTTGGTGCAGATGCAAGCTGACAGGGGGCCAGCTGCAGCACTGGAGGCCAGAGAAGGTTATGGAGTATGGCAGGCCCCGGGCCCACCAACCCTCACTTCTCTGCATAGCTGGCACCCTAGAGTGTGCATCAGACTCAGTGAGAAGTCTGTGTTTATGCTGCTCGTGGCCTGTCCATGCCATCAGGCCATAGATCATGGCCACATGGAAGAAGATCATACCCCCAAGACACTAGAAGCACTCATACTCACCGGGGGTCCTCGGAAGCCTGGCTCACCCTGAACAGAAACAAGAAGGTGCATCAGTGTGGCTGCTAGCTGCACTGTCAACCCACTGGGGAGGCAGAATGCTCCATTAGGGAGAAGGTTATGAGCTGGGGTTTGTGATCTCTTAGCATCTGGATAGGACACACCCTGAGGTCCTGCAGCTCAGAATACTGCCAAGTACAAGGGGTGACCTGGCCTGGGTGTCCTCTGAAGCTGTGTAGACAAGCAGGGCCCTCCCTGGTCCATGTGGGTCCAGATCTCAGATGTAAACCCAGGGGTGGCAGCAGAGTTCTTTTGTGGTATGTGTGGGGGTGGGCCAGGGTCCCACAGCCATCTCCATGGTACAGTTCCTCCTAGTCCCCCTCTAGGGCCCTGGCTGTGTGGGATCCTAGAAGGGGCTGGACCCAGGGCATAGGTCCCTTGAGGAATCAGCCCCAACCATGTTGAAGAGGTTCCTGCAGGTGCTCCCTGGGGCCACATAGAGGAAGGAGGGCCCACAGAGAGAGGCTGGAGAAGCAGCCAGAAACCTGCAGGGCAGAGGCAGCCCTGGGGGCTCAGAACATGGAGCTGGATGATGCTGAGCTCCTTCATCTCCCACAAGATAGGTCCACCCAAGTCCCCATACCCTACCCTCAGCATCTCTGCAGGGTGGGCTTGACTAACAGAAAAGGAGGGTCAGGCTGGCGTAGGGCAATGCCCACTCCAAGTGCCTTGTGTAGGCTTTCAAGGTAACTAGAGTCTGGGTGCTCGAGGTTGTGAAAGAAAGATAGAGGGGAGGTGCAAGGGGAGCTCCCTGCAGTCCCAGACCTACACTACAGAAGGTTCTAGAACACTGATCAGAAGAGGCGTCAGCAGTAACCAGCTTCTCTCCAGAAGACATCCCTCTAAGCTGACTCCAAGGCCCCAGTCCCCACGCTGCCTGCCCTTACCTTGGTTCCTTTCTGAGTGGGGACCAGGATGTTGCCGTCAGGGCTGAAGATGGTGCCAGGCTCACCCTTCTCACCCTGGAATGGCAGATAGTTCCGGCCATGGTCAACCACTATTTCTAAGTGGTCTTCACTCCCATCCGAGTAAAGCCCTGAATTGGGGCCTCACTGGGATGACCCTCAAAGACAGACCAAGCAAGGGGTGGCTGTTGAAGAAAGAACCAGGGCTGGAATCTGTCACCATGCCTGGTTATTGCCTGGCACATATGGTACCAGCAGACACTGTGGGGACTCCCTAGGGTCCCTGTCCACCAAAGCACATCTCAGCTCCTGCTAAAGTTTTGATTACAGTGAAGCCACAGTTCCAGTCCCTGAGGCCATGGGAGCCCTGTGGAAGGATCCCAAGGAGAGGAGCCCTGTGGAGGGATCCTGAGGAGAGGTGTCCCTTAGGAGGGACCCCAAGGAGAAGCACCCTGTGGGGTGGACCCTGAGGAGAGGAGCCCTGTGCCCTTACCTTCTGTCCTGGGAAGCCAGGCTCACCTTTGGAGCCCAGGTCACCCTTAGGGCCAGCTAGTCCCTAGAAAAGAAGCAAGGCAGGAGTAGAGGATCCAAGGGACCCGGCATCCCTCACCATCCCTTGAAGGACTACCTCTCTCTCACCACTATCCCTGCCAGTGAAGTCCCACAGTGACCCTCAAGGCTACTTACCGGAGAACCTATGTGCCCTGCCCCGCCCTGTAGGAAAGATGGACATGTCAGCTGTGAAGTCAATGCCACCCAGTATTATACACCCCAGAGACACCAGGCCAGCTAACACATAGACCTCTGAGCCCAGGGCACATTCCTCAGAAACAAGGTGAGCCTTGTACCTCAGGTCCTGGCCCACTTGAGATCACCTTCTGTCAGCAAATCAGCAAGAAAATACAAAGAAAAAAAGAAGAGAAAGAAAAACCACATTTAAAATTAAGATCCAACTCTCATTATGTTACTCTTAGAAACATCAACAAAACAATACCCAAAATTAAATTCACAAAGAAAATTTTGCTTTCACAAGGCTTTCTGGATTTTGTCCCAAGGTTCCTACCTTGCTACCCTCAGATTATACTTGGGGCCAGTTCCTGGGTGATTCTGCCTTTTGGGCACAGAGACTCAAGTCTCAGTGCCATTCCCTCACTATAGGACAAGCAGCTCAGCATCTTCTCAAGTGTCTGGGAGTTGCAGACACCCTAAGGGCCACACCTTTAAAGTTCATTGCTTTTACAATGCTGTTGAACTCTGGGTACATGTCCTTGCCCTGCAGCAGACAGTTCTGCCACTTTGGTCTTTTCTGTAGAGCTGGCTGTTTCTGCTGATGTCCACATTGGCTAGGCTAGCAAGGTGACACTAGCTGGTCCTTCCACTAGTGATCAAGGTAAGTCGGTGTCTGAGTTGTGCACCACACATGGCTGTGTGGCTTGGGATGCTGGGTCTCAGATCCTGGGGAACCCGTGCTGTCTGCTCTGAAGAGGGTGGGCTCATCCAGGGGGTCTCTGAAGCCCCTCTGCTAGCTCTGGTCAAGTGCAGGGGCTACATGTGTCGCGTATAGGGGGTGATACATTTGGATAAATATCTGCTGACAGACATGCTGCAGAACTTCCCAAGGCCCTGTGGTGATGGCAGGGCAGCCAAGAAACCCTGAAGAGTCTCTAGGTCAGAGGATTGTTCCAGAACTTGACACAATCCTTTGCCAAAGAACTAAGGGCTCTTTTACTTTTTCTGATGAGGGTAACTAGATTGACTATGAACATTCTAGGGCTACAAGTTCTACAGCAGAGGGCTTGACCCAGCCAGGAACTGTAAATATAAAAGTGCAAGGCTATATCCTTTGACTCAGGCCGCCCACATGCATGATTTCCAAAGGGTCTCTTCTGCAACATCCATCTTGGTTTCCTGGGGGCATCTTTGGACATAATGCTTGTGGTTCTATTGTTACTGTTGTGAGTGTGCATACACTGATCCCAGGAACCACTGAGGGTCAGACCGAGTCTCTAAAGGACCATCTGACTTATGATGGTCACATGAGGTGCCCTGGACTGCCTCATTCTCATCTGCGGGGACAGGTATTCAGCACCTTCAAACATGGGACCATGTGTTGATTTAAATACTTGGGAGATGGTGGTTTTTTAGACCCATAACATCATCTTTCCATTTGTAATGTCATTTCTTCTGCAGAACTCCTGCTATTTACTGGAACTCCTAACCTTATCTTTTATTTTTCTTTTAAATAAAGTCTTGCCAGGAGGCCCAGTTGCTAGCTCTGAATAGAACCAATAGCAGGGGAAATGAGGGCATCTGGCATCTTCAGGGACACTCTATGAGATGAGGCTAGTACCCTTAGGCTGTTGGCTGTGACTGAGAACCAGCCTCATCCATGGACCCCAGTGCCTGGCTCACAGCAGTCTGGGAGTCTGCCTTGCACTGGGTGTGACTGAAGCTATGGGGGTGGGGTCCAGACAGGAAGAGAGCCTGTCTACACAGCATCCTTACATCCTGCTCCGCTGACACGTAGACGACAGGCCCTGGGGGTCCAGGGGGCCCTGGGAGCCCGGGCTGCCCCACACCATTCTTCCCTGGGTCACCCTGGAAGAGAAAGCCTCATCTTTAGCACTTCATTTTCTGCAGGGAGTGAACTGTCATGGCTGCTCTGGCCAGGACTCTGGAGCCCAACCAGTACTTGAAGGGAGGTCCCTGGAGCTCACAGGGTATGATGAGCACCTGGGGGCTGAGGACAGTGGCCCTGAGAGCCTTCTATCCCAGACAGGGCAAGCTCTGAGCAGGGGCACTCCACTTCACCCCCAGGGACCACCATACCCTATCCCCTGTCCTCAGAGCTTCCCCACTTGTGGGGCAGGCTGTGAGTGGGGACCTCTGCACTTTATACCCCCAGTCCTCAGAGTCCCTCCATGTATAGGGTAGGCTTTGAGAGGGGACCACTATACCCCACCACTAACAGCCACCACTCCCAACTGGAGGAGGCCTTGTTCCTTGAGTTGCTGAGACCACATGTGTGCCAGGGTGGGTGAGCAGAGAGCAGCACCCTGGGGCACACTGTGTGGGGTATACAGCCCTGCCTTCCACCCACATCTCCTCCAAAGACACTCCACCCTCTGCCCTAGCCTCACTATGGACACTTACCTTTTCTCCTTGGCTTCCTTTATCTCCTTTTGGTCCCTATAGAGATGAGAAGAAGATGATTCGTCATGAATAGGGAAAGTGCCAATAGGGTGGGATGGTGACTGGACACATTGCTGGACCTGAGGTCTGTACTCATGGAGCCGTTCACAGGATCAGATGTGGAGACATGGACCTCTGGGTCCCTGGGAGGGCCCCAGGTATCATGACCCTGTAAGAGTTTCAACCCCTCTGGGGTTCCTGAGACAGGATCAGCAGAGAAGAGCCCATATGCCCCTCCCAGCAGATCAGCTAGGAGTAGTCCAGCTCACCTGCGGCCCAGTTATGCCCTCTCTGCCAGGGAGGCCAGGGAACCCAGGAGCACCATCCCCTCCAACTTCTCCCTGGAACACATATGAGAAGAAACTTATGTCAGGCATTCAGCTTCAGTCATGTGGGCTTTATAGAAAGAGCCACAGCACCCATGGGAGATAACCTTGTTGCACCATCCATGTGTTCACATCATGAGGACTAGGGTGGGTGAGGGGGAGATGGGTGGGGAAGGATGGGGTCAGTTGGAGGCCTGATCAGCTCAGGATGATGCAGCAGAGCCAAGGCTTTGGGTGGTGGGGGCCCAGAAGGAGGGTTGCCTTTGAAACTAGAATGTCTTCTAGGAGATGCCAGGAAGACCCAGGGAAAACCAGTGGGAATGATATCTTGTCCATAATTGGAGCTCTGTCCATGCAGATCTTCCCACCTGTGACCTCTCTGTTCCCTTGGGACATGCCAACCTCACTTCATTTACTGTGGCTGGGGAAATGGGCCTGAGGTGACCAAAGGAGCTGCAGCCCCCTCCTTTACCTGGGGACCAGAGATTATCAGTTTCCTGAACTCGAGGAAAAGGTCTTACCTTGGCCCCAGGTGGCCCAGCCATTCCAGGATCCCCCTGAAACAGATGAAGTGGCTCTGTGAGTATAATGCATCGGCCAGACTACCCCTGAGACAGTGCCCCCTACTCCCCAACTGGAGGAAAGAAGAGGATAATTATCCATGTTGCATCCCACACAGTCCCCCTCATCCCCTCAAGAACCACAAAGCTAGGCTCTCTCCTGAATTTCAGAACTGTGGCAATGATCTGAGAACATAGAACCACTTGTACAAAGGCCCTGAGGCCCCTGCTTGTGAAGGTCAGTAAGTTACATGCTAATGGGCACATGGTCTGGAATGTTCTTGAAGCTGTGAACCTTCTGCCATCTTGACCATTCCATTATTCCCACCATTAGACACTCATCCACAGATTATACCACTTTCAGCCTCCTGCCTTCATCCACTATGGCTGTGGTTCTGCCCTCCTGGGTATGCACCCCAAAGGAGAAGTGGAAGGAAAAGGTGCTGGGCAAGTGGGGGGCTGTTGTCTTCCAGGGCATGGGGACATGGAGCATGGCCTGGAAGAGAAGCTCCCAGGCTCTCCAGAGGAAGCCAGCCCCATTGCCCCAAGTTAGGACCTTGGTGTCACTGAGGCTGAGGGCAGGGTTGGGGAGTTGCTCCAGGTTCCTCCCTAAGCCCTGACTTTCTGCCCAAGTTAGCAGATGTACTATAATATAGGAAACCGAGGATCCCATTCATGGTGCATCAACAGGAGGGCAAAGGCTACCCTGCTTTAACCATGCAATGTTCAGGGAGGAACTGTGCATAACTTTATTTACCCTTTAGGCTTCTCTGTCTTTTGCAATGTTCTACCCTTGGGGTCAGAAACCATGGCAGGCTACGAGGCAGAGACCTTAAGTGGGGCGTGGGTCCCAGTCTACCCTCACTGACCTTGAGTCCTGGGAGGCCACGTGGTCCCTGTTGGCAGAAAAGGAAGCAGTGGCATCAGAGCAGCCCTTGGGCCCTACTGAGAAAGCTGGAGGAACACCTTAACTCCCCAGAACTGAGCCTTTTCAGAGCACCCACAGCTCTAACTGAGAAAGGGCAAATGAAGCACGAACAAAAGGGGCCAACGTGTCCCATGAAACACCATGAGTGGTGGTTGTCCTCAGCTCCACTGTCCAGCATGTATACCTCTCCTGGCCAGTCAGCACAGCAGGTGTAACAGACTCAGGGTCTCAGTGGGGCTGACATGGCAGCATGTGTGCCCCCAACCCAAGTAGGTGGCCCCTGAGGACCTCTGGAGGTACATTTGATTTAACTACAAAATATACAAGCAAATGTGTTCTTTCTTTTAACAAAGGTGAACACTGCCCTTGAGCCACTCCAGAGCAGTGAGGTGGGCCTGTTTGGGTTTAGGTTCATTGTGGCTCTCAGAGCTGATCTGTAAACGATGTCTCAATGGCTTCCACATCATCCATGAGGTCGTGACACAGCCTCACCATCCCCTCCAAAAGGCCAATGCCCTTGGAGCTGTTCACATACATGTTTCTACAACCTAAATCGAAGGGGGCTGTGTCCCACGATCTCCACCTCCATGCCACTGCCCACAGGCTCTCCCCAACTCCCATGTCTGAGTAATGCCAGTTCTTTCATCTTTGGTTCACATCTGCTCATCTGAACACAGTGAACTACTATTGGCAAAGATTAAGGTCTTTTTTTAATATATGAAAGTTAAAAAAATAAATAAATAACTGAACATAAAACCATGCACATGCTATGGAATCCATTTCTACCCAATTAAGAATTCTCAGACATTTTGCTCAGGCTAAAGGGTCTGTCTCAACCATGGACTCTTTTCAGGCCAAGCTGGGCTCTGAGGTCTGAGGCCCCAGAGTGTGGGACAGTGGCCCCTAGGCCAAGGAATATCCTGTACAGGCAGGTAGAGCCTTGACCAGGGTTCCTAAGGGGAAGGAGGCATTCCTCTGCCTCCACACCTCCAACTATGCCAGCCTTGGGGCTCTGCTTGCATGGAGTAGGGTGATGGGGGAGTTCCCAGCCTCCAACATGCTTTGGGTATCTCAGGAATGGTCATGCCCTGCTGAGCCCAGCCCTGACTGTGCATATACTAACAGCAGACCTCAGGTGAGGGCTCATAGGGATGCTCCCGATTTTTGTTCCTGAATCTTACTCAGGTCAAACAATGCTACTTCCCAATTACAGCCATTAGAGGAATCTAATGACCTGACTTCTTTCAGTAGCACTGATCTTTGAGGTCAGTTCTGAACTATCCTGAAGACCTGCAGTCTCTACCCACAATGGAGGATTCGAGAGAGATGCAGGGTCGAGGTCAGACAGTGACTTGGAACCAGCGGCTCTGGAGGCCTACCATGGTCTTCATGGTACCAGCTAGGGTTGCTTTCCTGCCTGGGTCCTGCCCCTAGACACCAGTGGACCTTCACATGGGCAGTACCTGTGGTCCGATGGAGTCTCGGCCTGTTGACCAGAAGGGCCCTCCAGAACCTTCCATGTCATCCTGGAGGAAAACACAGGAGAGGAAAAGCACTTGGGCCTGCTTTCTCCTTTTAAGGAGACAAGCCAAGGGTAGGTAAGGACAATGTCACCATATAGGGCCTTACTGACAGAATGTACCTGCTTAGTCAAAGAGGTCTGCCTGGGGGCCCCACAGCCTCTTTAGGGCCTTGTTTATTTGTTCCCAGTCTGGGTGAGTTGGCAGGGCATCGCGGTGGGGCTGCCTTGCTTAGGAGGGGACGTAGGTTCCCTTTAGTATCTAGAGACCACAAGGACATGGTCAAATGGTCAGAATGGGCTGGAAGCAGCCCAAGCACCATGACAGCAGAAGGAGGAAGCAGGGTAGGGACTGCTCCCTCCCTGTCTCTGCCCCTGACACTGTCCACACACGACATGATCAATCATTGTGGGATGACAAATGGGGCAGGGCCATGGTCTGTATGCTAACCCTGGGGAGAAGGCCCTGCTGAGGAGTGATGTCAGCCCCCTGTCCAGAAACTTGGCTTGTGTGGTGCTCAAAGTAGGAAGGGTCTATGGAGGCAACAGCAGAGACAAGTTACTAGGGGCAACAGGGGCTGGTACTTACAAATCCTGCTGCAAGTCCTGGCCCAGGTGGCCCAGGTGGCCCAGGTGGTCCTGGGGGTCCTCGGGGCCCAGCTGGTCCAGGGGCTCCTGCCAGGCCATTCTGCCCAGGAGCACCAACAGGGCCAGGGTCTCCCTGGCTTCCCTGCAGAGAGAGGAGGGAGAATAGGTAACTCTCTGCCCTGAGGGTTTCAGCTGAACCCCAATGCCATCCACGGCACCCCAATGCACCACCATTCTCTTATCACAATTAAAACACATCTGAAAATGCAAAGAGATGGATATCTAACATTCCAGAGCATCTCTTTTATTGCTGGTGTATGGTTCAATTGCGTTCACTTAATAAAACACAGACATGCGCTTTAGCACTTGTTCCAGGCGAACGCCGTGCATGGGGCAAAGCATGCTGCCCACGCAGCCGCGTTACCTCTGGCCCAGGCCCCCGGTAGGTGCGGGGGAGCGAGAAGGAGCTGTAGCAGGTGAGGAAGGGTGCACCGCTGGAAGGAGTGAGGGGGAGAGAGGAGAGAGGGGAGCTTAGTTGGGTGGGGGCTCGGCCTCAGGACTTTGTGACCACTAGTATATCATCCAGTGGTCACAATGTGTCCTCAGATTTTAGTTGGTCCACAGGGCCTTGGGGAGGAGCTAGGAGGGGCAGTAGGTACGAGTGACACAGGACAAGTCCTGGCATGTCTGTTGCACACAGCCCTGGCCCACCTTGGAGTGTGAGTAACATAGGACCCAGCAGAAGCCAGTTTGAAGAGGCAGGTAGAAGTTGGAGGATGAAGAGGGCCAGGGAAAGGGCTTGTGAAAAGGGCTCAAGTGCAGGGTCAGCCACACAGGAGCCCAGCTCTGCTCCCTTGAGGACACTGAACTGCTCTGACTCTTAGTCTCCCCATCTATAAAATGGGGATGATGTCAATGTTCTCAAAGCCTCAGGAGAGCCCTGAATGGGATAGGGTGGGAGGCATGCTGAGCCCAGGGCCAACACAAAGCCAGGGTGCCTGTCACTATCACGTGTGCAGTTCATGGGAGAAAGGTCACGTGATTCCACGGGGACACAGGTGTCACTGCACCCACTAAGAGACCGAGTCTTCCCTATATTCTTCTCCAGCCCCCCGGTGGGGAGGGGTCCCCTCACTTTGAGTACACAATCACCTGCTGCTGATGCTGCCCTCACCTCCAGAGACACTGTCCCTGTTACCACTCGATTTACCCAAGTGACAATTTTTTTGGAATCTTAAATTTTATTTTCGTGGTATTAACCTATCTCAGTGCTTTTTAATCATATTTTAAACTCTCATCTAGTTTTTAACTTTTTTAGAATTTGCATTAATTTTTTTCTAACCTTTCTAATATCATCTTTCAGTATTTTTTCCCAGCTTTAGCCATTTCTCTCATTTTAAACTTCATGCAAAATATTCCCCTCATTATTCCCTGAAGCTTGTTACATATGCATGTGTATACACATGTACAGACACATGTCTATATATGTACACATATATATTTTTGTACATAAAGAGCTCTACATGGCACAAACTGAGCTCAACTGCTAACTTACAGGTTGGTGGTTTGAACCCACTCAGAGGCTCTGGGGCAGAAAGACCTGGTGATCTTCTTCCATTAAGAGTACAACCAAGAAAACCCCATAGAAGAGCTCTACTCTGGGTCAACATGAATTGGAATAGCCTTGAGGGGAACTAACAACAACATATACATTTGCATTTACTTTTAAGCCTTAACCAACTTTTAGTTCTCTCTTGGGTTTCTTTAACCCTTGAACTCCCTTTCTGATTCCTATCATAATCCTTGGATCCTCACCAATGTCTCTCTTCACTAGAGCTTGCCATGTGCCCCTAGTGAACGAGGCATTCTTGGGTAGCTTCCTTGGCAGACGGCCCTTTTGACCTGCTATGGAAGTTTGCCACCCCCACCCTCTCAGCCCAATGGAGAGTCAGTGGATTCCATGGTCTTGATCTGAATGGGACTGGAGCCTTGAAGGGGCCTCCCGGGTCATCTGTGTGTCACAGGCTTCTGGTCCTGCTGGAGCCCATCCAGTCTCCAGGTGGGCCCTTCTCCTCCCCTGCCTGGTTGGTCACTGCTAGATAAACTGTCTGTTCTGGTCAGGTTGAGGCTAGACCCCAGGCCTGTCCCCAAGGAAGGCCCAGGTCCTTTAAAATGGGGCCTTGGTTTAGGGCTTACAGGACTACACTGGAGCCAGAAGCAAAGCAGGCAGACAGCCTCTGGTCCTGAGGGATCTGAGCTGCTCCCACCCCCTCTTTTGCAGGCCTGGGCCCCCTTAATATACTACTAGCCCACTCAACCTCCCCTCCTGGGCACTGGGCACCAGCCCACCTCTGTGCAAAATCTACACAGTCACCCCAGCCTCTGTTGGACAGTGGTTGGGCCAGGACAGCACTCCCACGAGCAAGCCTGAAGTAGTCTCTTGGGAAGAAAGTGAGGGAACCCCAGTGAGACCTCAGCTCACTTTCCCCTCAAGAACTCAATGGCCTCTTTTTACACGCATTTGTCCCAGAAACATGTTTCCAAATGAGCTGCAGATTTCCCTTTCTTGTGCCAGAATGCCTCTGGTTTCATTTAATTAGCACACCCTAGCCTAGAGGAGCCATAATCCATCTGTTTGTTGGACTCTGGTGGTTTGCATGTGGCTATGGTGAAACACATACTGGAAGCTATGCCACCCTTATTTCAAATACCAGCAGAGTCACTCATGGTGGACAGTCACTTTCTATGGAGCTTTCAGAGCAAGGCAGACTAGAAAGAAAGGCCTGGTGAACTACTTCTGAAAATCAGCCAATGAAAATCCTACAGATCACAACAGAACACTGTGCAATACAGTGCTAGAAGAGGAGCCCCCAATGTTGGAAGACATTCAACATTGCAGGACTAGGCAAGGCAAGGTTCTGTTCTATTGTACATGGGGTACCATAAGTTGGAGACAACTCAAGAGCAATGAACAACACCACCAACAGCCCAGAGTAGAAACAGTCGTGCAAAATAAACGCGATGTTCACATTCGGTGAGCCCTACCACAGGTGGATGGTTGGGCCTCCGGTCAGACAGGGGCAGTATGACAGATAGTGCTCTGTTCATCAGTGTGCCCCCCCCCACCCCGCTGACTGGGGCATCGGGGCGTTTGTGTACCTTAGGTCCTGGGGCGCCCACTTCACCCTGTGGAACAAGACAGAGGAATTACTACATTATCAGATTAGCCTTGCACTGATCGAGAGAGTAGCAGAGCAACCGCTTCATAATTTTGCTCTGACCCAGAGGTTATTGGTTTGCAGATCATCCTGACACACAATCTTTGGTTTCTCTCTCTGATAATGAGAGCTGAGGAGAAGGAGCTCCCTAAACTGATGTAAATTCGAAGTGCCTCATCTCGACCCCTCTTGGTGTTAAGAGGGGGCCTTGGAGGAGGCAGGGATGCACTGCCGTTCCTTGGCTGCAACCCTGGCTGCTTGGAGCACAACTAGAAACAGTACTCACATGGGAGCCAGCCACAGTGGCACTGTGTGCTGAACTGCATGCTGTCTAGCTCAGCAAATGCCTCCCTGTGCAGGGTGACATCAGGTCACACTTGGCCCAGTCAGTCAATTCTTTTATCTCAGTCATCTCGATAACCTGACAAACTAAGCACTGAAGTGTTCATTTAGTTCTCTCTGCTCAGCCAGAAAGTTCAAACCCATCAGCCACTCCTCGGAAGGAAGATGGGGCAATCTACTTCCATAGTGATACTGCCTCGGAAACCTAAGGAAGGGGTGCTATGAGTCAGGTCTGACGCGACAGCAATGAGGGTGAGGGAGGTTCAGCCAGAAATGGTCTTGTTTTCATTTAAGTTCACAGTAAAACACAGCATCACCTCCACCAGCCATATATGCCTGCCCTCAGCTCATTCACAGAAAACCCATGGGAACCATGGCCAGTGACACCAAGTGAGAAATTTGTGCAGCCTCTTGAAAATTTTCCGCTATCAATGTAACCAAAATTGCTTAAAACATGATATATAATTATTAAATCAAGTGAAGTGTCAGATTATTCAAAATCCAAGTTAGTATAATTTTCATCATAAAAAAACAGTAATATTAAGGTCCTGAATTTCCATACAGCCTCTCTGCATGGTGTGAATGGTGAACATGCTCAGCCGCTAATTCAAAGGTTGGAGATTTGAATCCACCTAAAGGCACTGTGGAAGAAAGGCCTGGCAACCTACTTCCCCAAAATCAGCCACTAGAAACCCCAAGGAGCGTAGTTCCACTCTACCAAGCATGGGCTGCCTGAGTTGGAGTCAACTGATAGTCACTGGCTGGAATTTTTGCATGAACTCCAGTTGGCTGCAGTTCTAAACAAACTTCAGGAATCTGAAGCCCTTGGGCTATTAGATGATGACAATGACAACACTGACTGCTTTTAGAAGATAGCTACCCTTAGCCTTAACCTCTGGTGTTAGTTATAACCTCTGGTATTAGGTAGCATCTTGTGGCTTTTCTCTTTCAAAGGTCACTTGACCAGGGTCCCAAACATCCAGGATCCAGCCACCCTGTAGCTACAGCCATGTGGCATTGGGCCAAGTGCACCCTGGACATACATGGGTGACTTACGAGACTTCCTTTCTGGCCATTCTCTCCTCGCTGCCCATCTTTTCCTGGAGGGCCTGGGGATCCCTAGGGAAGAGAAAAGCAAAGCTGCTAGAAAACAACTTGTGGGCTAGTAGAGAACTGTCCACAGATGTCCTCAGAGAAGCAAGGACACACCCTTCCCAGATGTGAGACCAGAGTTGAAGGGCTCACAAGGGGACCATGCCCAAAGCCAAGAGCAGCTTCATTCTAAAGCAGCTCAGACCGCCTACTGTTTGACTGTCTTTATTTTGAGCTGCTTTCTGAGTTGCTGATCAAACTGGAGGAAGAGGGCCCAGCAGCCTGATGCTGGTGGGGCAGCCAGCCACCTGCAAGCGGCTACTGGGGTGCAGATACTACATGCCCTCTAGATGGCAGCCTGGCAACAAGTAAAACATGAACCAGGCACATTCTCTAACCTAAACACTGCTTGTATAGGGGCTCCTCCTTGCGTTGGGAGGGCCCTGCCAGGAAACCCCAGTGGGGTCTGTGAGGGGTCTGTGTGTGCTGAGCCTGACAAGGGGTGCCATCCACAGAGCTGGGGACAGGGTTGTGGGCAGTTGCTAGAATGGGCCTGTGTGCATTTATGAATCATAGGTCCAAGGCAGATCACCTCGAGTCCAGGCACTCCCAGCTGGTGGTGATTACAGTAAGTGGCATGGTAGTGCCTGCTAGGCGCCCTGGATTCCCTGAGGGGCTGGACAGTGAGGGGGGTCTCCAAGGCCCCTGATACAATGTGTCAGCCAAATACAGCTTCTTACCACCCCCAATCCTTCCAGGCAAGAGCCCCCAGATAAGGACATGAGCTTGCCATCTATTATGACCCCCCTCCCACGAGAATCACCTTGACTAGTAGGGAGATTCTGTGAGGTCCACCAACCCATCTGCAGTCCCCAATGAGTGAGCGACCCCAGAACAATAGCACTGTCTGATCATGCTCTTCCCTTCCCTGAGAGCACCCAGGATGGAGCTTCTCTATTTAGAGGATGTGGGCAGGTATGGGCAGGGGGAGGAGGTGTACAGGAAAGTCCAGAGATGGAGAGTGGAATGATTACGCTGGATGAAGGAGAGAGGAGCAGCACTTACTGGAGGGCCAGGACGCCCAGGGGGCCCTTCTCGCCCAGGCACACCGGGGAGGCCTGCAGGTCCTGGAACATCTGAGCTGTTCATCCCAAAGCGGCCTGGCTCTCCAGGCAGGCCTGGGACGCCAGGGGGACCAGGGGGGCCGGGGAAGCCTCGTGGGCCCTGGATATGGACATAGAGTGATCACCACACATACAGACCCTTGAATGATGCCTCCACCTCCACAGACCTTGTCACCACCACTGAAGGGTCCCTGCTAAGATCTTATGATGGCAGATGATCCTTTCCGTACATACCACCCTGGCTGAAGGACACTCACCCTGAGAGTCTCCAGGTCACCACCAAACCCTGACCCCTCCATGTCGATGAAGGTCTGAGGAGAAGGTGCCCCGAGAAGTGTATCAGTAGGAGCACAGTGGGCACAGACCTGCCCCTGCCCCAGCCCCAGGCCCCAAACACCCCACTGTGCTTCCTGCATTCCAAGATGTCATACAAGTAGCAAAGAGAAGGCAGAGGCCCCACTACTGGAATGAGGAAAGCCTAAAGGGACATGGCAGTGCCCAGGGGGCGTCAGGGGGCTGAGATGCCCCCTGCAGGCTCCCACCACATTTGAGGCCCCAGAGCCAGCCAAGAGCCTGCTGGGCCTATGAGGCTTGAACACTCTCCCAGGAAACCATTTTTCAAGGCTAACAGCACCACTAAGAAGCCTCACTCCCAGACACAATAAACACAGCACAAAGAAGCCAGGCCAGTCCCACTCCCTTCCTGGACAGGGGGTGAGCCCCAGGGCAGAGGGTTAGACGTGGTACTCACCAGTTTGTCGTGTTTGAAGGATGGTCCTGGAGGCCCTGGAGGTCCCTGAGGCCCAGGGGGTCCACGTGGCCCAACCCCAGGGTCTCCCTGGGAACATAGAATGAGCCCACTGCACCACAGGCAACAGTCCCCATGGGGTAAGAGGGTAGACAGAGAAAAGGCGCCCCCACCCAGATCAGCTAAAGCTCACCTTCTCACCCTTGGGGCCAACCTCTCCTGGGGTTCCCGGGAAGCCTTGAGGCCCAGTGTCACCCTGGAAGACAGAGACAGGCTGTGCAGTCAGGGGAGGCACCTCTGTTCTGTTAGCATGTAAATGGTGATGGTATCATGGCTTCTGTGCCCTCAGTGCCCCTCTGGTGCTACGACTCAAACACCTGCTATTCGCATGTGGCCTGGCCCAGATGGAGGCACTGGGAATTCACAGAGCATCATTCATGTCATCATTCAACATGAAGGTCAAATCCATAGATGGATAGACATGCTGACTGTAGGGGTCCCTGACTTCAAAACACCCCTGCCTGCAAGGGGTGGGTGTTCGTACCACAAACGTTGAATCTGGCATCTCCATTGATATATTTGCTAAATACTGATCTCTCTTTCTGTCTGTTGTGCATGTGTACATGTGCTTATGTGTGTACATGCATGTGTGCACATGTGTGAGTTTGCACATGAATGTTGCATGCATGCACATGTGTGTTGCATGCATGAGTGTGGATCTGTGCACATGTGGGTGCACTTATGTGTGTGCACATATGTGTGCATGTGCACATTCATGTGTGTTCCTGTGTGTACCTATGCATGTATGTTGGATGCCTATGGTCAAAAAATGTGCCTGCACGTTTACTACTATGTGGATAAATGGGTAAGAGGTCTTTGGGACCTAAGTGGCCAACTTGGAAAAGACTGTATACAGCTTGTTTGTTGGGCATGAAATGCTAATGAAATTTATTAGAGCAAGCTTGCCAGCTGAGTCATTTGGATATGGTACCACACACATATATATACAGAGATATGCACACACACCTGCTCTATGGATTTATGACCAAGGTCTACAGAAGTCTTGTACAAGGACTGTGGATTAGTTTCTTCCCTCTCACATATCATCACAATCTTTGTTGGTGGTGCAAAAATGTTCAATAATGGTTGGTGTAGATATGAAATATCTCTGCTTGGCCTTCTTAAGTGTTTTTATTTTGAATCCATCATGTCTAGGATTAATATTATGACACTCATTTTATACTACCATTTGCCTGGTATATTATTTCCCAAACTTTAATTTGCAACATTATTGTGTCCTTTTATTTGCTTGTATTTCTTGGAAATAGTATTTGTTGATCTTTAAAAACTGAAATTGAGTACTTACAGATAGAAACTCTTACATTTGTTAACACTGCTGATAAACTTGCACAAACTACTGGCACCTTATTTATTTTTTCCCCTCTGTGTTGCATTCTCCTCCCCTGAAACACTTTCAGGTTATTTCTTTATTCTTTATTTTTTCAGCTCTAAGGATTTGGAAGCTATTTCTTTCTTTCCTAGTCATTAGCTTAAACACTTCAACAGACATGCTTAACTTTATACTTTTCTGACAATAATTAGACCTGTAATTTCTTAACAACTTAAATCACATTTTCAAAGTAGTTTCATTTTGAAATCTCATCACTATGTTGAACATAAAGATTCACAGGGTTAAAAAAAAAGCCTAAGGTTCTCACACAAATGTAACAGATAATATCTGGCTCTAAAGTCAAGGGGAGAGAAGCCAACCTACCTGCTTTCCATCTTTGCCAGGATCTCCCTGGAAGGGGCAAGAGAGACCGTGAGTGATAGGAAACCCACCTTCCTGTTCCCACCTGGAGTCGGACATGGAAATGCATTTCTGTGTTCAAAGCTAACCTGCAAAACTCAACCCTCCTTGGGAAAATAATGATCTACATGCCAGTGAAGAAGCCCTCTGATTGTAACTTTACCTACTTCTGCACCTAAAAACCTCAGTACAAGATTAATGCCCAAATACCACAGACTACAAGTTCACTATCTCACAGACATGAATGTAAGCCATTCTTAGCCTTGTGGTGTCTCTGTACACCCTCCAGTTTTTGCACAAGGGAAGGACTCAGCAATCCAGTGTAATTTGGTCCTGAGGTCTCCAGGGGTTCTGGGACACTGTTCTCTGCTCGGGTTTTGGTAGACTCGCCCACATCAGCCGCATCTTCTCTTTCCTGCTCCTGCTTGAGCCCACCACCCCTGAGCAGGGCCTGGTCTGACGGAGAGATGATGCATACTCACTGGCTCACCATCCTTTCCTGGAGCACCATCCCTTCCTGGCGGCCCAGGGGGCCCAGGGGGTCCCTGTGGCCCAGGGACAGGTTGTGTGGCAGGGCCAACAGGGCTCTGGATGACTGGGCCTGCAGGACCCTGGGGACCAGCTGGGCCAGGCAGGCCCTGGGCACCTGGCTCCCCCTTCTGCCCCTTCAGGCCTGGAGAGCTGGGCCTCAGGGCCCCCTAGGAATGAGAAAGGAGACTGAGTGCAGCTGGGGTGAGCCAAGCACACTCTCCCACATGTCCACGTTGCTGTCCTGGGGGGACAGAGGCAGACTGAATAGTCAAGGGTGTGCACACCAATGGGCTCTGCCCCACTGGCACTGGATACTCCCCAGTGCCAGCTGGTAAGCCTCCTCCATGGTGAATGCAGGGATGGCTGATGCCCACTGTGAGCTGGGTATAAAAGGTTGGAGGGACAACTATGCCCTGGGAGTTTCCTCTGGGGGTCACTGGCAACTACACCAGGGACCACTGGCCCCTTGGGCCTTGACAGTCCCTGTGCTGTAGTCCTGTGGGTCAGGGTCAGGAGAAGGGGCCTTACCTCTTCCACGCCATCCCATGTGGCATCCACATCCAAGCCCACAGTATGGGTGTTAACTTCCCTCCCCTGTTCCATGTTAGTAAGGGTCTGAGCTGGAAGAGAAACAGAGTGACCATGTCAAACCTGGAGTGGTGACCAGGGCTTTGCTCACTCTCTCTGCCCCTTTCTGGAGGGATACCTGCCACTCATCCTGCCCCCTCCCCAGTACCCGCAGTGTTGGCTGGAACCCAGCTGGTTCCAGCAAAAGCCCAAGCCCATAACCACATATGATCCAGCTGGGGTGTCCAGGGGCTGAGGGGTGGGGAGTGAGAGCATCCACCCAGAGCAGGCAACCAGGGAAAAATTAAAAATCAATGACAAAAGCAGTGAGGCAATTCTAAGCAATGCCAGTGATGGCATGCACCTCCTTGCTGGCAAACTACCCCTGCCTGGGTGCCACACTGGCCCAACAGGGCTGTCCTGGACTTTCTGGAAGACCTTGGCTTCCTCATATCAACACACCCGAGTCCATCCAGAATGCCTTCTTATTGCTTATCACTTTTTTTATTTCCCCCTTTTCCCTCCCAAATTTTAAATTTGGAAAGAATGGAAAACCTACAGAAATACTGCAAGGATAGTACCATGAGTGTCCATATGCTCTTGAGATGCACACATACACTTTCTCTCTCTCTCTCTCTCTCTCTCTCTCTCTCACACACACACACACACACACACGTAACTTCATTCTTTTTTGCTGCATCTTCTGAGAGTTTGCTGCCCTCATGATGACCCTTCTTTCCTGAATACCTCAGCACCTCCTAAAAGTGAGAACATTCTCTTACAAAACAATGGCACATTCAGGAAATTAACACTGATATATACTATGAACTGACACACAGCCCATACTGAAATCTCCCCCACTGCTCCAGAGATGTCCTTCACAGCTTCTTTCTTGGGGTAGGGGTAGGGGGACTCCAGGATTGGGTCAAGGCTCATGCTCCACATTTAGTGAGTCTCCTTTAATCTCTATCCAAGGTTGGCCAACTACTGCCCATGGCCTCTGCCTGGTTTTGTATGGCCCTGGAGCTAACAATGATTTCACAACAAAACCAAACAAGACACATAAGAACATGTCTTGAGAGGCATGTGGCCCATGGAGCCTAAAATATTTACTATCTGGCCCTGACAGGGAATGCATGCCAAACCTGCTCTCAACCAACCTTGCACCTCCCTTCCTAGTGTGCCCATCTCTGTGCAAGTGGACCTGAATCAAACAGTTTTGAAGGAACCTCATGGGGGATGGTATGTCCTGCTCCCACCAGGCTGTGATGTCCCATTCCTGGTGGCCCCAATTCTGACCCTTGACTAGCGTATCACACCAGGCCCCTCCTGGCTGTGTCCTGAAGGAGCATTTTCAGTGACAACTACAGTAGACATCCTCATGTCCTTGTAATGCTAAGAGAAGAACACACAAAGTATGAATAGTTTGGCTTCTGGGGACATTTTTTTTTTTTTTTTAATTGTGATTTGGGTGAAAGTTTACAGAGCAAATTCACTTCCATGCAGAAGTTCACATATACTTTGTCTCATGACATTGACTACAATTTACCCCAATGCAACAGCTTCCCTCCCATTTCCTCATGGTAGTTACCTCTTCCCTGTGTCTATCCCTCCATGCACTACTGCCCCCTGAGCTATCTCCCTGTGCATAAATAGCCCTTCTTTTTCCCATGATTATTCTTTCCAAGGAGTGTATCTACCTCAGGCAAATGTTCAACTCATATGCCTGTCTTTTGTTTGGCTGGAAACTACAGGTGTGGGTTCAATTCCAGACCTGAAGGGCAGCTAGGCCATAGTCTCTGGTTCCACCAGGCTGTATCAGACCAGCAAACTTGGTCCCCCTCTTTTTTTTTTCCAAATGATTTTGAGTTTTGTTCCACATTGTTTTCCCTCTCTATCCAGAATTTCCTATATAGATCCTCCTCTGGATGGTTGACAGTGGTAGCCAGGCACCATCCAGTTCTTCTGGTCTCATAGTCGTATAGGTACTGGTCTCTAGGACTAATTGTTTCCATAAATCTTTGGTTTCCTTCATTCTTCTTTGCTCTGGATGAGGAGAGACCCATCATTGCATCTAGATGGCTGCTTGCAAGCTTTTAAGATCCCAGTTGCTACTCGCCCAAGTAGGAAGTAGAACAATGTTTTGTGTAGTATGTTATGCCAATTGAGCTTGATGTCCCCTGAGACTATAGTCCCGAACCCACAAGCTCAACTACTCAGTCCTTCTGGGTAGCTGGCTGTGACCAAGAAGTGACTACAAACTTGTCCCTTGTCAGCTCTACTATATACCTTGGAATTCTTACAGAACATACAAATACACTTGTAGAACCATTGTCTGCCAACACTATATATGGTCTTGGGTATACTCCCCACTGCATAGACATACCTACTAGTTCAGCCTGTCCACCCATCTATCCACCCATATACCCATGTTTGCCTTCACTGACAATGCAGTACTGTATGTGCAAAAGAGTTCATCTTTGTTGTCTGCACCTCCTATATACCTCTCTATGTCCTCAATGCCACCATGTTGATCACTCACATTTGGTACATTGACCTTCTCTTCACCCAAACCAATACTTGTCTCCACCTATTTAACAGTGTTCCCCCCACCACCCCTGGTAACCAACAAAAAAATTTCCTTCCATAGATAAACCTCTCCTTGACTTTTACAATAATGGACTAATACAATATTTGTCCTTCTGTGATTGATTTATTTCACTCAGCATAATGTCCTCTAAGTTCATCCACATTATGTGGTGTTTTGTAGATACTACGTTATTCTTTAGGTTTGCATAGTATTCCATTGTGTGCATGTACCACAGTTTGGTTATCCATTCTTCTGTTGATAGGCACCTAGGTTGCTTCTATCTTTTTGCTCTAGTAAATAGTGCTGCAATGAATGTGGGTGTGCACATATCTGTTCTTGTCCTGGCTCTCTTGTAGGATATATACCTAGTAATAGAATAGCCAATCAAATGGTACTTCTAATTCCAACTTTTTAAGGAATTGCATACTGCTTTCCACAGTGGTTGTACCATTTTCCAGTCCCACCAGCAGTGTATGAGAGTTCCAATCTCTCCACATCCTTGTCAGCATTTGTTATTTTCTGTCTTATTGAGCTTTGCCATTAGTGCTGGGGTGAGATGGTATCTCATTGTTGTTTGGATTTGCATCTCTCTAATGGCTAGTGATCGTGAGGATTTCTTCATATGTTTGTTGGCCACCTGAATATCCTCTTTGGTGAAGAGTCTGTTCATGTCTGTTGCCCATTTTTAAATTGGATTATTTGTCTTTTTGTTGTTGAGGTGTTGGAGTTTTCTATAAGTTCTAGAGATAAGTCCCTTGTCAGATATGTTATTGGCAAATATTTTTTTCCCAATCTGTAGGTTCTCTTTCAACTCTTTTGGAGAAGTCTTTGGAAGTACATACAAATTTAATTTTTAGAAGGTCACATTTATCTAGTTTATCTTCTGCTGTTTGTGCATTTCGGGTTATGCTTGATAGTCTATTTATGCCATATATTAGGGCCCCTAAAGAGTTTTTCCTCGAGGAACTTTATAGTTTTAGGTTTCATATTTCATATTTAAGTCTTTAGGAGCTAGCATAGTGCCCAAAGGCACTTGACGGCTAACCAGTAGGCTGGTGGCTCAAACCCACCAGCCACTCCTCAGAAGGAAGATGGGGCAATCTACTTCCGTAGTGATACTGCCTTGGAAACCCAAGGAGGGGGCACTATGAGTCGGGTCTGACTTGATGGCACATAACAACAACAACATTTAAGTCTCTGATCCATCTGGAGTTAGTTTTTGCGTACGGTGTGAGGTACAGATCCTGTTTCATTTTTCTGCAAATGGATATACAGTTTTGCCAGCACTGTTTATTAAACAAACATCCTCTTCCCCAACTCTTTTGTTTTTGATGGATTGATTCCTCTTTTTTGTTTTTCCATTTCTGCGCATGCACTGAGCATGAGTCATTCCAGTAACCAAAAAACATAATAATTGCTCTTGTCATATATATATGTGTTTATATAATTTCAGAGAACCTAGATGTAAGTGTGGGAGCTCTGGTAGCATAGTGGCTAAGACACTTGCCTGCTAACCAGACAGCTGGCAGTTCAAACCCACCAGCCACTCCTCAGAAGAAAGGCTGGGCAATCCTACTTCCGTAGTGATACTGCCTCGGAAACCCAAAAAGGGGTCGCTATGAGTCAGTTTGACTCATCGGCACATAACAACAACAACAACAGATGTAAGTGTATAGGCAGAACTCTAAAGATGTCTCTCCAATACCTCTATCCCCTGGCTATTCAACCAAACACTAATCTAGGTCCCACTGTGGTAGTTAAGGTTATTAAACATCTGACATTAATTATGATAGGGAGATTAGATTAGCCTCAGTTGTCCAGTTTGGCCCTATAATCACATGAACCCTAAAGAGCAGACAAGGAAGGCAGGAGAGCTGAGCAGAAGGGGAGCCGGAGAGATTCAAGGTGAGGAGGATTCCATCTGCTGTGGCTAGCTTTGAAGGTGTAGGAAGGGGGCCAGGAGCCTCTAGAAGCTGAGAATGATCCCTGGCCAAAGAAGGGAAGAATGATCCCCAGCAAGGAAACAGGTATGAAATCTGCCAACAACTTGGATGTACTCAGAGCATAGACCTACTCACACCTTGATTTGGTGTTGTGAGACTCTCAGCAGCCATGCTGTGTCTAACTCTAATCCATGGGAACTGTGAGGTAATAAATGGGTGTTGTCCCAAGTCACTAAGCTTGTGGTAATCTGTTTCTCAGTTATAGACAATTAACACCATAAACTATACATTTCTTCTTTAGTGCATCCTATCTCTGTGCCAATGCATCCCCAAGGCCATCTCAATCCCAGAGGTCCCAGGCTCAGAGGCTGTATGAGGAGGGCCAGGGCAAAGCTAACCCCTGCCCCCATGTTGTCTCTCCTTCGTAATGCACCTGGATTGTTCTAGCCATCTAGCATCACCCAGACTGGGTAGCAGCACCTTGCTCCAGCAGACCCTTGGGGTTCCCCTCAAATGCTGCTGTGGGAATGGATGCAGACTTAATGGAGGAGAAGGTCTGGTCCAAGCAAGTGGCTCTGTTCTGACTTCCCCTGGGCCTGAACACTTCCTGCTGCTGCCCATGCAGAAAGCAGCCAGGGCTCCAATGCTGAGCATCTGGTTCTGGGTGTGTTCATGACTGACAAATGGCCCTTACTCAGCCACACACACACACACACACACACTCATACATACACACCACACATACCAAACATCAAATCAGGGCTTCAAACTGGTTCAAAACTGTTTTGTAATTGCTGTTATAAACAATGGCATTGTACACATTGCATAGCAACCAGATCTGTTGCTCAAGGTATTTTGACCCGAGAAGGAAACAAAGAGGAGCTCTGTTGGCAGTAAGGCTAAAGCATTGGGCTGCTAACCAAAAGGTTGGCAGTTCAAACCCATCATCTGCTTCATGGGATAAAGATGAGGCAATTTTCTTCTGTAAAGATTTACAGTCTTGGAAATCCCATGGGACAGTTCTGCTCTGTCCTATAGGGTTGATATGAGTCAGGATTGACTGGATAGCAGAGGGTTTGGGTTTAGGAAACAAATAGCTCTGCCCTACTCAAAGATGGTGGCCAACCATGCCACTCCAAATGTATTTGTTCTCTAGCGTCCTGCCAATAACCCAATCTCCTGCATCAGGCTACTGAGAATTTCAGGAGGAAAGACTTTGGTGGGACTTTTGGAGAACAACATTATTGGCAGGACTCTGGAGAGCAATGCACATTCAAAACAGTGTAGTAGGTAGGCTGCCATCTTTGAGGGGGCACAGCTGTTTGTTTCTTACTTTAATCAAAATATCACAGGCAAAAGACTTGGTTGTTATGCAATGCATACATGGCCCTTGTTTATGATGGCAACTACTGAACCAACCGTTTTGAACTGGTTTGAAGTCCTGCATCATATAGATACATACAAATACTAATACCACTCATATGCTGGAACTCACATGCCACAAACATACCCATCAGGCACAGAGACACCACACACATTGCACATACACATATATCACACACACTATAGATCCAACCTTCCTGCTTCCAAACCATATCCTCCCAGAAATACACATACAACCATGCACACACTCACAAACATCACACACACATGCACACATTCACACACACATATGCACATCCACACCACACCTCTACACCCCACGCACATGCACACACCACACACACATCACATACACCATGCAGCCAACACACATCACACCACACATAAACACATACACCACACCCAGAAAAGAGTTTTACCTCTTAACGTAGGCACTGTTGTTTCTTCCTCTATTTCTTCAGTTCTGGAATCTTCAGTGTTGCTGCCTCCTCCAGCCAAGGGTGGAGAAGTGACTGGGGGAGCCTCAGGCAGGCTGGGTTTCAAGGAAGAGCCCTGGTAGGAGGAGAGGGGAAGAAAGCCCCGTGATCCAGCAACACTGACATCCTGGAAGTACAGGCGTGAGAGCCTACAGTGTTTTTTAGTTGATTTGTAACATGAAATATCTCTGGTGGCATAGTGCCTAAGGCATTTGACTACTAAGCAGAAGGTTGGCAGTTCAAAGCCACCAGACATTCTATGGAAGGAAACCTGGGCAATCTATGTCCACAAGGATGTACTGCCTCAGAAATCCAAAGGGGGTTGTTATGAGTCAGAATTGATTTGATGGCAGTGAATTTGGTTTTTGGCACAGTTTATAAGCTATTAGCACAGCACCTGACCTCAGATTGTCTTTGTCAGAGCAGTTTTACTTGTGGTTTTCTCCTAGCCAGCCTGTGTAGCCCCATGGTTCTAGGGGCAACAAACCCAGGGGCCAATCTGGGCCCAGACACCCACCCTTCCTTCCCTGCCACCAGGTCACTGTGGTGCTGGAAAACAAAATCATGATTCTGCACCTCATGATGTAGGAGCTATATTAGGATTTTATTTGCCATTTCTTATCAAAATGTAATCTGTGTTTTTTCCAAATTCACTTAAAACATGAAAGTCAAAGGTATATTGTGCATGGATCCAAAATTGCTAAAGGGCCTAGTTTTGAAACTACTTAAGCAAAAAGGCACCATGTATGTTAGTTTTCTCACTGGAAGATCTTACCAGATTTTACGTTTGTTTTACCCTGTGGGTTAGTCCTTGTTCTTCCCTTCCTGGCCCCCACAGAGAGGTCAGGGACCCCTGGGCAGCCACCCACATCCTTGCTGAACTCAAGTGGGATTCAATATCCTTTCCTGCCCTTGGAAATAGCCTGTTACCCAGAGTCAGCCTGCCTCTTTGCTGGGGCCACAGCTGACTCAGCTCCCTGGAGGCCATTCTTCAAAAAGGAATTGGGTTTGGTGGGGGGCCAAGGGTGGACTCCTGGGTGGGCGGGGCAGGGGGGCAAGTAGTTGTATCTGTGGTTTTGTGAGTGAATGGCTCTGAGGTGGCCTCTAGTAGCCCCTGCCTGTCTTGTTGGGGGCTCTACATAGCTCTGACCCAGCTCTGGGAGGGCATGGAAAAATGAAAGACTTGAGGACCGAGCTTCAGAACAGCCGTGGGTCATTTAGACCCTCTGTCTGTTAGTCCTGCTTATCACTAGTTCATCACTTTTAAAACTTTTTACCTCTCCTTATAGTCTTCCCTTCTTTTCCCCACCCTCCCCTTTTCCTTTCCTTTTTTCCCTTTCCCTTCTGTACTGGGTTGAATGGTATTCTCCCAAAATTCATGTTCACCTGGAACCTCAGAGTGTGACTTCACTTGGAAATAAGGTCTTTGCAGATGTAACCAAGTTAACAACAAAACAAACAAAAACAAACCCATTGTTAAGCCAATTCCAACTCATAGCAACCCTACAGGACAGAGTAGAATACCTCCATAAGATTTCCAAGGCAGCAATCTTTCTGGGAACACACTGCCACATATAGGTAGGGTGGGCCCTAATCCAATATGCCAGGCATTATTTATAAGGAGAGAGAAATCTGGACACAGAGAGGCTCAGGTAAGGGTATGTGAAGTCAGAGGCAGAGGCTGGAGTGATATGGCCACAAGCCAAGGATTGCTGGCAACCACCAGAAGCTATAAGAAATAAGGAAGGACCCTCTCCTCGAGTCTTTGGAGGGAGCTCAGCCCTGCTGACACCCTGATTGCAAACTACTGGCCTCCAGAACTATGAGAAATAATTTCTGTTGTTTTAAGCCACCCAGTTAGTGGTACTTTATTATGATGACCCCAGGAGACTCATACACACTCCTCTCCTCCTCTCCCCTCCCTGCCTGTGTTGTTTCAGGAGGCCAGAGCTGGAAAAACTACCACTAATCTGGTCTCCCAGAAGCCCCTCCCCCATCATGGCCTGTATAGCCTTTCCTTCTTGATGCAGATCTATAACCCATTAGTTCCCTGGTAAATTCTACAAGCTCACAGGGGAGGATGGGATGCCAAGGTCACTTCAACGACCTTGTTTAGGAATGTTTAGACTGAGAAGTCTTGTTTTAAAGGACCACTGCCTTGCAGAGGGCACAAGAAGGAATGCAGCCAAAGACTGGGGACAACTCACCCCTGTTCTGAGCCTGTCAGGTTTGAATGAAGGCTCAGGCCACTTGGAGGAGGCCAGACACTGCCAGTGTGTCCTGACTTCTGGCTGGGAACATGTCTCAGAACACAAGAGAGGGGCCACAGATCTTGCACATGTAAGCTTACACACATACTCTGCTGGGCAGGAAAAGATCACCATGTCGGGTACCCAGGAGGTGGTCCAGGGCCCCAGGAGGTAATCTTGGCATTACAGAGCTATTCACCATTTCTCCTCTGAGATGATCCTGGTTGTCTTCGAGCCCACTTCCGAAGTCTCCTGATGCCTGAATGGTGTAAATGAAACAAAGAAGAAGATGATTAATGCCCCAGTCAATCAGGCCTGAGCTCATCCTGGGCAAGCCAGAGCCTAGCCCCCTCCTCTCACAGCCATATTCAGGAGGAAGAGGGCAGGGGCAGCTATATGTAGCCACTGGACAGGAAAGCCATCCTTCCCTGGTTGGGCATTTGGTGGGTCAATAGGTATGTCTAATCAGATTGATTACAGCAACCCTTTGGGAATCAATCTGGTAGGACAGAGACCCATGAAGAAATTTGTTCCTATCTTTCAATAGGTCATCTTGTTTCTGGGGAAACAGCCAAGAAGAGAGAAGCCCAAGCAGAAAGATGTTCAATACAGTGTTACTTAACCCTGAGAACATCAGTAATGAGGAGTAAAGCCAGGACAGCCTCTAGCTAGAACAGGGGATGCCCAGAGGAAATGGGTCACAATACTGCATCCTTGCTGCCACTGCCCACGGTGCATGGCCACACTCAAGTTATAATCAGTGTCTCGCCAGCACTGGGAAGGTCCAGAGAGGACTGGCAAGGGAGGTCATGTTCACTGGGACTCAGTTCCTGCCGTAACATCTGAAATTAATAAAACCTGGAGGAAAGAAGGTGTGTGAATCCTCTACTGACTCTCCACCTTAGAGTTCACAGCAGGCATGAAATGAGTCAGAACTCCTCTTAGGGAACTTTCATGGGGTTTTGGGAGAAGTCAGGGCAGGCTTCAGAAGGGGTATGCAGCAGTCATTCTGGAGACAGACTTGTGGGGCCCACCTGGCAGCCCCACCCACCAGGGCACAAGTGCTAAATATCAACTGCATCCCTGGATTGGATTGCTCTAGGTATAAAAGCAATAGATTTATCAGAGAAATTTGGAAAACCCTTGCAAGTGTAAATAAATACATACAAACTGCCCACTGTCCAACCACAGCTAAACTTTTACCTAAGCATTTTCAGTGATACATACGGTATGGAAAGTGCAAGTCCATTTTGGGGGAAGGCCATCTTTGTGATCTGGGGTCCACCCCACAATGTGGCTTCCCTCTGTCCTTCAACCCCAGGAATTAGTGGATTTTATTGCATAGGTCCCATGTGATTGATATTTCTCTCTATCACTATAATGTAAAACGCAAAAGCTGAAACCTGTGTAAAGTAGAAACCTGTCAAAGGAGAACCCAAATATTTTCCACTAAAACAAGTGACAGAAAAGTGGTAAGATTGAACCCTGTCAAAGGCAGAAAATTGGCAAGACCCAGAAAAACAAGGCAGTCCTGCTGAGTTCCAGCTCTCACAAGTTTCACTGTGTATCTCTTTATATCTAATGTATGTACATCTATTTATCTACCTACCTGTATGTGCCTAAATATCTATCTATCTATCTATCTGTCTGTCTGTCTGTCTGTCTATCTATCTATCTATATTTTTTTGGTGTCTATTATACATTATAGGAGCTCTGGTAGCATAGTGCCTAAGGCACTTGACTGCTCACCAGAAGGCTGGCGGTTCAAACCCACCAGCCACTCCTTGGAAGGAAGGTTGGGAAATCCTACTTCCGTAGTGATACTGCCTTGGAAACCCAAGGAGGGGTCACTATGAGTTGGGGCTGACTTGATGGCAAACAACAACAACAACAACAACATTATACATTATACCACCCAATCACCCAACTGACTATTCTAGAAGTGGTTTATAATATTAACTTTGTGTTCAGCATTTGATTTTAAATGCAAAATTTAAGACAAGGGAACGATATTTCTGATGTTATAGGGACAAACAAAAATGTTATTTCAGGCTTCTAGTACCCCACGTAGCATCTATACTTCATGCCACTCTAGAGTTCCCAAGAAAAGGAAATCTCCATTGGCCTTCAGCATTCAGGGTAGGGGAAGGGTGGGCCCAGGATGAGGCCACCCACCCAAGCTACTGCCACCGCCACTCACCCCATCTGTGTCATCCTCATCCTCCTCCAGGCAGCGCAGGGGGCTCACTCGGGGGTCCCCACGTATCCTCAGGTCTGCAATCAACCCCTAAACCCAGAGGGAGAGAGAGGAAAGCAGAAAGGTCACCACTGGCTCCAAGGCAGGAAGTGGGTGCAAAGAGACCCTGCCTGACACTGTTATGAGGCAGCAACACACTAATAGAGTGTGGTGAAGTCGTTGTACCAAGCAAACTCTAGGGTTAAAACACTTTATTTATGAAAAAGTGATGTTGAAACCAAAGACAGCATTCTTACAGTGTTTAATGAAGAGGAAGAACATGAAGTACGGCCTGTGGGGGTTACTGACGAACAGTTCTTCCCTGGAACCAGGAGGTGATTCAGGATGGGGATGGGAAGGTGAGGTGGGGTGAACTGGTCTCCCCTGGTGAGTGGACTACAGTTTGTCTTGAGCATATGTGATGGACATACTTGAGTGTCATTTATCTAAAAAGACCAGCAGCAGGTTTGAAAATAGCCCTGAATGAAGGGAGGCTGATCGGGTCCCATCCCTTGGGTATGGTGAGCACACTGTGAAGCTTTGCAGTGGTGGTACAGAGGAACTTAGCCCAAATTAATCAAGTCAGAATTGATGTTTCATCTGCAACTTAGTATTTTTTATAATAGAAACTAGAAAGGGAGCACAAAAAATTAAAGAAGCCCAAAACACGTGAAACAAGTTCTTTGACTCTCTGGGGGCCTAAATCCATGTCACTCATTCATTCATTCACTCATTCATTCACCCACTTGCTTGCTCTGCCCACAAATTCCCACATATGCCCTTGACCATCATGAGATTAAAGGCACAAGGACAAAGCAGTGAATAGGTCGAAGCGCTGACTGGAAAGGGGCCAAGAGCCCCTGCAAGCAGCAGAAAGGAATGAAGCACTCCTAACACTGCGGCCCACGAGGAGTACCATCCTTCAAAAATGTGGACAGATGGGCCCATTTCATAGGCAGTCGGATGTGCTTAGGGTCTCCAGACTTGTTGCTGCCTCAGGACCTGCTGCTAGGGCAAGAAGCCTGTTCCAATCTCTGCACAATGCTTCCTGGTTGCTGGCAGGCTGGATTTGCCCCTTGGATGACATAGTGGGCTTTTGCAGCAATAGGGGCAGGCATGGGTACTCCTGAAAGCGGTGGCCATGTGGATGGTGGGCACTGGATATCCTGTAGTGGGACAGTCAGTCTCTACACAGACTAAAACCATCCTGCATGGTTCCTGGCCTACCAACAGACTAAACCCACTACAGGTTTGTGCAGTGGATTCCAAACACTTCCAGAAGCTGCAGGACACCTGCATCAGGAGAGATAGGGGTGTGTGTGGAGGGAAGCTTGAAAGAAAAGAGACCAGCAGAAAGCACTGAGTCCTGTACAATCCCCTATCTCTGCTGGGTGCCCTGGGCCTGCAGCTTCCCCGTGACATTTAGTTGGAGAAGATACCAGTGGAGCAAAGGCCACAAGACCATTGCAAATATTTAGCAGACTTAGAGCCCAGTGTTATGAAATCATGGAGAAACTTGAAACTAAGGGCTCACAATGAATTTCACTACTGAGGACTGTTTAAAATCTCTCAACTCATTTCTATCCTATACATGGAAAAAAAAAGCCAATTGCCATGGAGTCATGGGTCACACGGGCAACCTCATGTCTGTCAGAGTAGAACTATGCTCCATAACGTTCTCAATGGTAGACTTTTCAGAAGTAGATCACCAAGACTCTAGACGGACAAACCTCCAAACTTTTGGTTAGTAGCTGTTATGGACTGAATCGTGCCCCACCCTCCACCCCCAACATGTGTCAACTTGGTTAGGCCAGAATTATCAGCCTATGTAATTATCCTCCATTCTGTGATCTGATGTAATCATACAATGTGTTGTAAATCCAACCTCTATAATGTTAATGAGTCAGGATTAGGGGCAGTTATGTTAATGAGGCAGGGATACAATCTATAGGATTAGGCTGATCTCTTTGGGGATAGAAAAGATATTAAACAAGAGAGCAGAGATCAGAAGGGCCTGTCTTACCACCAAGAAAGACGAGCTGGGAGTGGAGTGCATCCTTTAGACTTCGGTCCCTGTGCTAAGAACCTCCTACACCCAGGGGAAGATTGATGCCAAGACACATGGACATCTCCAAGGACCACTGAGCATACAGATGTTGAAAGGAGACAAGGACCTTCCTCTAGAGTGGACAGGGAGAGAAAGCCTTCCACTAGAGCCAGCACTCTAAATTCCAACTTCTAGCCTTCTAAACTGAATAATTCTAGCCTCCTAAACTGAGTAATTCTAGCCTCCTAACAAACAGAATGAATTTCTGTTTGTTAAAGCCATCCACTTATGGTATTTCTGTTATAGCAGTATTAGATAACTAAGTAGCTGAGCACTTAATCATTTGTGCCACCCAGGGACTCCTCTCCTATGTATTATATATTTTTAAACAGTATGTAAATGATATGAATCCTATGCTGTGAAAATTAGTCATTGAAAAAATCATCAAAGTGGGGGCTTCCCACAGTTTTTCTGTCTGTTATGAGTGTCTTCTTGGAAGTACCAGGATCAGCTGCCTCTTAGTCTCCCACCATTTCTCCCCTAGCTTTGAAGTGGGGGTCTTCTGGCCTTGGGGGTACTGGAGGCTGAATGTACCTTGTATCAGAGAATAAAGCTGGATGATTAGATGCAGCACCTTCCAAGACCCAGACACCTCGCAGGAAGTGATGGCATGTACACATATTCCTCCCAGTCCTCTATTGCCTCCTGTTGTGTACCAAACAAATGAACCTGACCTGTCATCACCAAACCCAGCAGGAGCCTTGTTTCAGCCATGCCTCCCATTTCATTTCCCTATAATCCTAGCACTGAATGTCTGACCCCTTGACTTCTAAGTCCAGACTTGACCATCACTATCTGCTTCTGTCTTCTTCACTGTTTCTCCTGGTGTGTCATACCCAAGCACCTATGCACAAAACCAAAACCAAAACCAAAACCAAAAAAAAACCCACGTTATTTTATCATAAAAATTTTCATATCTCCATTCAATTAGGCTAGTAGCGAGCAAAGGAGAGTTCAAGGTATTGATTATAAAAGGGAGTGCTGAGTTGGAGCAGTGGAGAGACTGAAGAAGGAGCCAGAAGCCAAGGTGGATATATAGACTTGTAGGTTCCATAAGCTCTCTCTCAGCCCAGGAGCTGCAGGAATAGTTATGGCCAAGTTAGGGGTACAGGAAAGAAGAAGGAAGTCTGCTTGAGTCAGGGGATGCAAGCAGCTTTCCTGTCCATCTGTTTCATTCACAGTATGAGGCTGATTCAGTCGCAATCTCCTTAGAATGGATAAACCTCCTAACATCTCAGTTTTAGAGGCATCAGCACATTGATTACTTAGTTTTTATGTAGTGTAGCCAAAGCTACATGCTGAGAAAAACTCACAATCTTAATGTTTTCATCATTGAATAATGTAGATAAATAAACAAGCATTCAACTAAAGGTATTCATAGTTTAGACTGCTGACCCCACAAAAGCAGGGGCAGCTTTGTTCTGTTCCCAAGCATATTACAGCTCTTAACACAGTGCCTGCTACAGATGAGGGATCAGGGAATATTTGTGGACTGACTTTCTGAATAAACAAATGATTGAAGTCGAAAGAAAGCCACAAAAGAAGTTCATGGAAGAGAGAAAGGTGGACATCAAAAAATATGAGCAAACTGAGTAAATGGATGAGGAAAAAAGGGTACTTCAATAAAGAGAAATCAAATTAAAACAAAAATAATAATGCAACTCCAGAGCATTTGGAATTAAAAAAAAAAAAAAAAGTCATGTCACTGTTGTTAGGTGTCATTGAGTTGGTTCTGACTTACAGTGACCCATGCACAACAAAATGAAACACTGCCTGGTTCTGTGTCACCTCACAATTTCTGCTATTTTTGAGTCCATTGTTTCAGCCTCTGTGTCAATCCATTTCATTGGGGGACCACATCTTTTTCATTGACCCTCTACTTTACCAAGCATGATATCTTTCTCTAGGGACTGGTCCCTCCTAACAACAGGTCCAAAGTATATGAGCAGAGTCTTAACTATCCTTGTTTCTAAGCAATGTTCTGGCTGTATTTCTTCTGAACAAAAACATATTTGTTTATTCTTTTTGCAGACCATGGTATACTTAATAGTCTTCAACTCTATAATTCAAATGTATCAATTCTTCTTTGGTATTCCCTATTCATTGCCACTCCTTGGAAGGAAGGTTGAGCAATCTACTTCCGTAGTAATACCACCTCGGAAACCCAAGGAGGGGTCGCTATGAGTCGGGGCTGACTCGATGGCACATAACAACAACAACATTCATTGTTTAGCTTTTGAATGAATATGAGATGATTGAAAATACCATGGCTTGGGGTCAGGCACACTTTAGTCCTCAAAGTGATATCATTGCTTTCAAATGTTTTGAAGAGGTCTTTTCCAGCAGATTTACCCAGGGCAATAAGTCATAGATCTCTTGACCTCTGCTTCCATGAATGTTGATTATGGATCCAAGTAAAATGAAATCCTTGACAACCTAACTCTTTTTTCCATTTACATGATGCTTTTTTCCATTTACCACGATATTGGTCCAGTAGAGAGGATTTTTTGTTTTCTTTATGATGAATTGTAATCCATACTGAAAGCTGTAGTCTTTGATCTTCATCAGTAAGTGTTTCAAGTTCTCTTCACTTACAGCAAGCAAGATTGTGTCCTCTCCATGGTCGCAGGGGACATCAAGTTCAATTGGCATAACATACTACACCAAAACATTGTTCCACATCCTACTCTGGTGAGTAGCAACTGGGATCTTAAAAGCTTGCCAAGTGGCCATCTAGATGCAATGATGGGTCTCTCCTTGTCCAGAGCAAGGAAGAATGAAGAAAACCAAAGATTCATGGAAACAATTAGTCCAAGCAACTGGTATACCATGTGATCCTCAGCCTGTATGACTATGAGACTATAAGAACTAGATGGTGCCTGGCTACCACTGTCACTCGGAGGGGAATCTGTGTAGGAGATCCTGGATAGAGTGGAAGAACAAT